AACCTTGGCAATGTGAAGTGGTGTGGATTTCACCCCCCAAACTCCCCCAGCCAACTTGGCTGGGGGGGGCATTCTGGGAGTTGAAGTCCACACATCTTCAGGTTGCCAAGGTTGAGAAACACTGCTCTAAAAATACAGTAATACAAATTAATGCAGAGGGATGTGAGTGCCAAATTGTGACTGCTTGTGGGCCATAAACATGGATCATTCAACATGTTTACAACTTCCCATGTTGAGAAGGAGACCTTTTGGGATCTTCATTGCTTTATATCATGAACAAGAGCAGTTTGATATGCGATCAGAGGCCAGACAGCTGTCTGTCTGGGATGTTTGAATTTCCTGATCCGAGCTGGGTCTTGGACTGGATAGCCTCGAGGATCCCTTCCTGCTGTAGGATGACTCTTGGGTTCCTTTCCCCGCTCCAAATCCCTTGTTTTTGTTTTCTTTTTAATCCATCTTTTTAATCCATCGTCTTCTCTCTTTGGAGAGGTACTCCTACAATGTTAACTTGCAAATGGCAGGAACTAATTAATTAAGCACTAATTGGCAAACCAATTGTTGCTAGGTTTAACATCTGACTTGTTTGCTATCAGGAGGTTAAAAGGAAAAAAAAATAATGAGCTAACAAATTGCTCCACACTCATAAATGTCCACCTTGTTGGAAGTTTGAATTATTATTTTATGAAGCGAGTCCCTTTCCAAAAGCCATCAAGAAGAGGGGGAAGCAGGTATATGCCATCTTTAAAGTTGTCTAGGTAGCTGTGGAGACAAATGGTTTGCCTAATAAAACTTAATGACTGATTTTTCTTTGTCCTAATCACAACAAAGAATGTGCTTCATTAAGATAATTAACTGAGCTGTTCCTTAAAGGACAGCGCTAGATACTAATTCCCACGTTCCTTGGTTTTGTCTAAATAAAAGCTGTAGGAAAAGAAGAAAGAACCTTGTGCTCTCTGTCTGTTAGTGAGATAAGGCACTGTGGAGTGTACTTGTGTGTGTGTATTCTCTGCCCTACCATTTCCAGTAGCAGGAACTATCTTCTCCTTGTGCTAGGGCAGTGGTTCTTGACCTTAGCAACTTTAAGATGGGTGGACTTCAACTCCCAGAATTCCCCAGCCAGCATGGGAATTGAAGTCCACCCATTTTAAAGCTGCCAAGCTTTTTAAAGCTTTCTTTACCACTGTGCTAAAGAAAGAGAATACTTTAGTTAGTATCTGGGTTTGGTAGCAAAAAGATAACCTTGAAGCCAGTTGCTCCTGGGAAGAATGGACTGCTCTCCAACTACCTTGGGTTATTTGTACTTAACAAGACATGGCAGTTCCTTAATACTGCTAACACCCTACTGAGCTTTAAGACCTACATGGGCCTCTTCCTGGGCCTTTGGTCTGATTTAATTATATTTCAAAATGGCCAACTTTTAGTAGTTGAATGTCTTTATTTTCCTATGGTGGAGCAGTGTAGTCATCTCTCTGGTGCATTGCCCTTTCTTGCTTCCAAATGCAAAACAGGACAGGAGTTGGCTGGAACAGCTGGAATATAACCAGGTAACATACTTGAAGTGTACCATGTGCTTGGAAGTCTTGCCCCTATCCTTAATTTACTTTAAACTTGGGGTTGCAGCACATCTTTTTTTGAGCTAATAAGGGTCCGGCCTCACTTGATGTTTGTTTGTTTGTTTGTTTATTAAATGTATATTGCGCCCATCTCCCCCAGAGGGTGACTCTGGGCGGCTTACAGTTAAAATCCAAAACAATAAAAACAATAAAAATATAAATATCCATTTTAAAATAAGAACAATTCTGTATACAAAGCCTACACACAATTCAAGATGATGGGGGGAGCAGTATTGATCAACCCACCAGCCACTTCTAACGTTGTGAGCCCCCATCAGGCCCAGGCCATCTGGCATAGTCAAGTATAATCAGATTGTTGTTGCGAGAATTCCTTCACAGCTTTGTTGGGGCTCAGTGATGTGATCAATGAAGGCAAGGCTATAATCTGCACAATTAAAGGTAGCTACCCTGCATACCTGAGTAGTGACAGTTCAAGCTTAGAAAAATTGTTCCATGTGGCCATCCAGAAGACTCAGTTCCTGCAATCCGGAACCATGTTGGAGTCTGTTCTCCCAGTGGCCCAGGGAGCCCACTTGTCCCCCAGCAGATGGCCTTCAGAAGTGGTCGCATGGCCATCAAGACTAAGCACTGTCAATCCTCATGGTTTCCCTGAAGTTGGTTTATGAAATGGATGTCACTTATTTCCCATAAAATTAATCAGTGTGTACCTAGGGTGCAACTATGTATGTTTTGGACCCAATTCCCTGAGCATGCTTTTTTTTCTTCCTTAGCGTTGAACATCCTCTAATGGACTTGGTAAATTGCTCTAGTTTTTTTGGTTGTTGCTGTTGTTTTTTCCCCCCAGGCATTATTAGTTTGGCAGCATTGACAAAAACTCTCCCCTGTAATACTTCTTAGTAACTGACCGGGGTGTGTGTGTGTGCAGGGCCAGGGGGAATAAGGTGTAAGCAACATTTCCAAGCCAGCCAGGGGAAGAATGCAAGGGAATTAACTTAACTTTCTTAAACTTCAGTGATGAAATGTTCCATTTAATACTAGCACTGTATCATAAATCATTTCCTTTACAAGCAAAAGCAGTTCTGAATTGCCCTGTTTGGGTTTTCTTAGTGTGGTGGATGGTACTCATCAGCAACACAAATATCAGATGAAAAGTTTCTTTGGGCATTTGGAAGTTATCCAGAAAAGCCATTTTCCTCTCAGATCAAGAATCATTTGGATTGGAGTGGGAGATAAATTGTGGTAAAAAACAAAAGAAAACCAGAAGAAATAAATAGTGGAGGAACATCTATATATTGTAGAACTTTGCTCATTTTTTAAAGATACCTTGAGTCTTTTGTTTTATTTACAATGATAATGTTCCTCTATAGTTTGGTAGTATTTCTCTGAAACAGACACAGACTCCTGCATACATACAGATATACACCCTTTAGAAGACACTGTTTCTGATATATCAAAAATACTTGCTGATTTCATTTTCTGTATTGTCTCCTACATCTTACTGTATAATCTTTAATTTGTTCTGTTTTGTACTGAGATATTATTTTTAAAAGGTATTTTCTCCCCAGTATCTGTTAAATGTTTTCCAAGCCTGCATTCTGAACACTGCATTTTTCTTTTTCAGAGTTTTCACGTCTTCCACAATGAATCCTGTTTACAGCCCCGTTCAGCCTGGGGCTCCGTACGGAAATCCTAAGAATGTGGCCTATACAGGTAAAGTTATGTATAAAATTAAACATACAAAGGTGGTGTGCTCCAGATCCAAAGGGATCAAGTACATTCTTGCAGAGGCAAGATTTGGGATTTCCTGCTTCTGGCTCAGAATCCGAAGCTACACTAAGCTGTCAGTACCTTTGTGAGAGCTTATTCTCTTAAAATCATTGCATATCGATATAGGTAGTCCTCGACTTAGAACCATTTGTTTAGCGATCGTTCAAAGTTATGATGGCACTGAAAAAGATGACTTACAACCAGTCCTCACACTTATGACCGTCACAGTGTCCCCCGTAGTCACATGATGAAAATTCAGACACTTGGTAACCGGTGTGTATTTATGATGGTTGCAGCATCCCAGGGTCACATGATCGCCATTTGTGACCTTCCCAGCCGGCTTCTGACAAACAAAATCAATGGGGGAAGCCGGATTCATTTAATGACAGCATGATTCACTTAACGACCATGGCAACAAAGGTCATAAAATCGGGTGCAACTCACTTAATAACCACATCACTTAGTGATGGAAGTTCTGGTCCCAATTGTCGTTGTAAGTTGAAGACTATCTGTAAGTGGTTCCCAGGTCCTCTCCATTAAGCACTGTCACCTGACGGGACCTAGGAAATGGTCTTTTTTTGACAGCACCTGCCCTCTGGAACACCATCCTTGAGATATATCTGGCCCCCACCTTGGCTGTGTTCAAAAGAGCTCTGAAAACCTGGTGGATTAGAAAGAATGGCAGGTCCTGCATGTTTGATTGTCTTTCAATACTTGTTTTTCTTACAGTGTTGAGGTTTTCTTTATTGTATTGTATGATTGTTTTTACTGTAGGCGTCTCAGAGTCATTGTGCAGTTGGGCACCTTATATATTTCTAAAAAAAAATAAATAAATACACTCAAGGATTTGTAGATCAAATTACCAGTTGATGTTCTTCCAATCCAACCCCTCAGACTCTTCCTCTTGCCCACAGAAAGTGAACCGTCACGGCATTAGTTATTCCCTTGCGTCTGGTTTTTGATGCATTTGCTATTTTGAATTGTCAGCCAGCACTCCTTTAAAAAAAAAGGTTTCTTCTGCATAAAGGCTTCTGTAAAGTTACAGCTGTGAACTTTGCTATGGACTGCCTCTGATGTAATTTATAAATACTTACGGATAGGGTACCAGTTAAATATGCTGAAAGGGTATGATGTGGAAGTGTTCCAAATGGATTCATCAGAATCCTTTTCATCTTTCACCAACCCATCCTTCTACTTTCCTTTTTACTATATTATTTTCACTCAAGCCCCCTGATTGGAAAGATTGCTTGAGAAAAGGAGCACAACATTATTGAGTTGCTGCATAGCTAAGTGTGTCCTCTTCAGAGTTCTCTTGAGTATTGTGGTGTCTTGCTTTTTTAGTCTTATTTTCTGGGTAAATTTACGGATGGATTAGCAGCTACTAATTTCTACTAATGAGTGAGGATGGCACCCCCCACCCACCCCCCATGGCAGCTGTGGGTGCCAATGTATGTATGGATATTTGCCTTCTGTTTCCTAGGGTCCCTGCCCTACCTGTTCACATTTTTTTTTAAAGTCCTTTTAAAAAAGAAGCTAGTATGGTGGAAAGTGAAGTGCCCTCTTTAAGAGAGCCTTGGGTTTCAAATCCTGGGTGGCTCTAATCCAGGTCTTCTTTGGAACAAGTCTCCTTGTGAAAGCACCCTCTGCATCAAAAGATTGGGGACTCTAACAGAATATCTTTTACTGGGCCTTGTTTGCTAAAGCCTTTAAGAAGGCAGTCAGAACCTGGTTCTTTCCCTCATCTTTGGGTTCGAGTGAGTGGAATTCAAATTGTTGAGTTACGGTACATTTTAGTCTGGTTGCCATTTTATGGTTCTTGTCGGCATTTAATGTATTTTGTTGCCTTCTTTTTTTTTTTAATCTGTATTTGTAGTTGACTTTTGTACATCACCCAGAGCCACTTTGTTCAGTTGGGTGACTATATAAATGCAATACATAAATAGGTTTTGAGTATAGATATGTGAGAGCCAGTTTGGTGTAGTTCAAGACGCCAGGCTAGAAACCAGGAGACTGTAAGTTCTAGGCCTGCCTTGGACATGAAACCAGCTGGGCCTTCCAGCTAGCTCAGGAAAAAAGGAAGGGGAAAACCACATCCAAAAAATGTTGCCAAGAAAACTACAGGGACTCGTCCAGGCAGTCGCCAGGAGTCTCACACACACACACACACACACACACACACACAGGAGACCTTTTTGTCCCAGGCAGAAAAGAAACCAAGTTTTTCTTGATTCGTTCAATAAGTGATATAAATCTTGGAAGAAATTATTCACGTGGGCTGCAGAACATAGCTCTCTTTTTAAAGGATCCTTAGTTTGTGGTCTATAGGAATTACACAGATGGAGGAGTGTGATAGACTGGTGTAAGCAGAGAATGTTCCAGAAGAAGAAATCAGAAAATGACAATAAAAAAATAAAATACAAGAGGCCAACTGTTATCATTCATAGCACATCTAAGCTCGAGCTTTTGTATGTGGATTTAGTATGGAAAAATATTTTGAATAGCGTTCCAGTGTATATCCTTAACTTTTGTGATGGACAAAGAACTTTCTGAGAGAGGTTTTCCCACCATATCAACAAAGCCTCCCAATACCAGTCTTCCTGCATTTACCAAACTTTATTGAATGGTACAGTAGTCTATTCTGGGCAGAACTTTCCAGAAACTCATCTTCTGAAGGTATCTTTCCCCAGCCACTTATGTTTAATTTTGCCTTTGTATTGATATTACAATTCCTGCTATGCTCACCAACAAAGTCCTTAAAACAGCCCTTCTTCGCAAACCAAGAAGTGGGGGAGGGCAATGGGGGGAGGGGTCGAAAAAGCCAAGATGCTGGCCGTAGCCATGTAACTGAAGCCCTGCCCTTTTTTTATGTGCATGGCGACACATGTAAAAAAAAACAGGTTTGGGCTTTGATCACATGGTTATGGGTGGCATCTTGACTTTTTTGACCAATGTGAAGACATCCCTGCACAGAAGTAAGAGCTTGACATGAAAACCAGTTCTGTTACAGCTGCAGGCTGCCCTTATCCAATCATGAAATCCTGCTATTATCAGAAGGACATCTTAAAATTTTCAAGAAATGGAGGCCTTGAAGACTTTTAAACAAATCAGATGAATAAAGTAATGAACATTTCTAGGAAGTTACTTAGTATTTTATGTTAAAATTGTAGGTAAAAGTGGAAGCTTTATTTCCTCTTTTACATGTGCCTTACTTAATTTTCACCACTGTTAGGTTACAAAAGATGAGGACTCTTGGTTGTGAGATTTGGGGAAGGAAAAGGAAACAAATTTCACAACCAAGACTCAGTCATGTAGCAAGATATTCAAAATGACCAGCATGATATTGAAGGTGGGGAGCTGATACTTTGCGTGCAAAAAAATCCATTATTTTAGTTTTACTTGATGATGTGCAATTGACAGGTAACTGTCGTGCAAATAAACTTAGTTTCCACTGCCAATTAAGTGAATGCATTCTACTGAAATGTTTTGTTTAGAACATCTAATGTTCCCAAAGGGGATGCTGGCCCAAATAAAAGACATTAGCCTATTTGCTTGAAGGGTCAGCATCTTTCTGAGATATGGGCCCATGTTCCAGTCTTGGCTCTTAGTGGGAAGCTTGTGGTGGTAACCAATCCTTTAATGTGTTTGAAGGACATTCAGGGACAGTAGAGTAGCAAGAAAGCTAACATGTTTCTGAAATACTAGGTATCCAAGAATATCACAACTCCAAAAAGCCACAGTGGCCTGGATCCAAGCAACTGCCCCACTGTTTCTCAAGGCTTTGTTCTAGACATATTTCTTGAGCAGTGTTTCCCCTGCTGCTGCTCCATGGAATGTGCCCAATATCTTGGGTTGCTTAGTATTTTCCTTTGAATCCTAGTTGGTGATAATTTGCAGAGATGTGGAAAATAAAAGCACGCCTGACAGCAGTGATTTTACGTCGAAATATCTAGTATAAGAAGATTGTGTTGGCTGGGTTCTGCGATCCAGGAAGTAAGAGTGAAAGTGGAGTAAAGTCAACACAGTACAGGGTTCTTCCTAGGGACAGACATCAATAAAACAGTCAAGATCAAAAAAATGTGCCCTGGGATCCCTACTAAAATGGCAAGGATGCTTAAAGGCTTTGACTTCTCTGAGCCACATGTGCGATAATTTGTTCTTTAGCATCCTGTGTTTGAATTCAGTAGAAAATCATAGCAAAACTGTATGCATGATTATCCTTAAATGAATAACTCATGGGATATATTGAGAATAGGGGTTTAATTTGTCTTCCCTTTTTCTCCCCTCCCACTATGGGATTTTGTCAGCAATTGATTCCTTGGGCAATCACTTGGGGGTAACAAAATGGCACATGTAGATTCTCATTTGGTCTTTCTGAGATTGGGAAGTGGAACTGGCAATTATTTTAAAAGTCAACATGAAATGTATTTTGGTGTGTCAGTATATATATACTCATATTCTGTATTCTGCACTCTGCTATTTTGTTTAAATAAAAGATGAGCCTTCAAATAAGGAAATTGAAAATGGGTTGAATTAGACATTGGAAAAAATGTTGAGAACATTCATAAAAAAACAAAAATGTGTATGCTCTTATGCACTACCACATGGACACACATTCTCATACTAAGTTTTATATCAGATTGGGTGCACCTGATGGTTTCAGCATCCTTCAGAAGGTGACGGCTGTCTTGGGAGTCCCTTGCTCTGCTAGCTTGGAAGAAGCTGAAGCTTAGCTCTGGATCTTGTGTGTTAATCTCTCCCCCTTCCCTGCCAGCCCATTCAGCCAGGTCTCTGTGGAATATCAACCATTTTGTGGCCTAATCCTATTGTCATGGATTTGTGGAGGGCCAAAGGACAAATGTCACTTTAATGAACTCAGAGGTGTTCCCCGGGGCCTCTGTGATATAATTTAGTTCTTCTAGTAAAAGCCACAATTTCTTTACCGC